TGCACTGTCTAGTACCCCTCCCAGGGACTCCAAGAAGGCCGGGTACTCAGCACTGCTGTTCGGCCCGTAGGCCGACACCACAGTGAGAGACCTGTTCCCGACCCGAAGGCGCACGGACGCGACCTGTGAGCAGGCCCACACCAGCCTGCCGCCGCTCCCCGCGGCCAATGTCAGAGAAATGGAGAGTCCAGCCCCTCTCAAGGAGTTGGGTTCCAGAGCCCAAACTGTGCGTGGAGGTGAGGCCGACTATATCTAGTCGGTAACGCTCGACCTCCCGCACAAGCTCAGGCTCCTTCCCCCCCAGCGAGGTGACATTCCATGTCCCCAGAGCTAGTCTCCATGTCCGGAGATCCGGTCGCCGAGGCCCCCGCCGTCGACTGCTGCCCAGATCTCTCTGCACCGGCCCCATATGGATCCTCCTGGGGGTGCCCCCCCCCCCCCCCCCCACCCACCCACCCCCCCCCCCCCCCCCCCCCCCGCGTATGACGTATTCTCTAGAGTGTCTTTAATTAGCGTTGTGGAATCAGTATTGAGTATCGAGTCTATTCCTTAGTACTGAAATCAAGTTTAAAATTTTAGTATCAGGACAATACTGGTCTGTAGCCTTAGTTCACCTTCAGACTGAATCTTGGACATGGTTCAGATTTAACACGTTTCTTATTGCGTAATATTTTTTTATTAATTGGACGTTATATTAATGGTACTACTCAGGGTCACGGTCTACACAAAGTATGCTAGCTGACATCGTCCATGCAAGTGCATCACAGTGCTCCCTGGACTGGACAGGCCTGGGTGGGACTAGATCCAGCCGTCCTCTCACCTCTCAGGTTCAGCTCACATAGGGAAATGTGTGAGTGAGATGTTTACACTGCTGAAAGACTCCTGTCTGCACACCAGCCCAGATAGATTTATTATCAGAGCCAAATGTCCCAGTGCAGAGCCAAGACTAGATCCAGGACAGACTCTTGTTATCCACAACAAATTAACCTGACAACAAGATATGGAAGTTATCAACTACAGCTGTGGCTGTTTACTGGGGTTAATTCGGTACATTTGTTTATTGGGTGTGAAAATGGCATGGCAACCTATTTGTTTTTACTACTGTAAAGTGACCCCACAGCCAGGTGGTCTTGGATTAGATTCTGAAATTCCTGTCGATACATATTTATACTAAGATCAAGATTCACTCATGTCTACTCATCACTGATCAGCGTGCATTTTTAATGAGAGGTCTATAGCCAGTCATCTGTCAGTAAAAACATGTGGAGCAGAGCTCAGATAATGATGTTGAAAACCATTTTAATTTGACATTAGAGACAAAATCAAAAGTTGTAATTGAACAAAAAAAAGTTATTCATTTTGTCTGTCATATCCCCAGTGCTATTCCATGAACTATTTTAAAGCTGCAATAAGCCCTACTCTTTTTTTTTATATCAGGTCTGTCCTCTAGTCATTCTAATAAAATACTTTAACCGTGACTTTGCCCATTTATGGGCAGCCTCATTTCCCCTATCCTGTGCCCTTATGATTTTGTGAGTCCACTTAGTGAGTTGGCACGGCCCATTGCAGACCTGGATTGTACAAACATTGTATTTTTTCTGTACAGAGCAGAGACAAACATCAGACCTGCTCCTGGGTTTGTGTCGGGCTTCCTGGCAGCGCACTTGATCCACTTCTACATCTGTCGTCATACTGCTCTGGTATGTCCATAAGCCCTGTCCCATTTTCAGAAGTGGGTAGAGAGGACAATTAGTTTTACAACAATACTTTTATTTGAATAACCTTTAAACTAAACTGTACTTACTGTACAAAACCATATTTTATGAAATAGTACTTCTAATATCCACTTTCCAGACAGTACTCAAACTTAAATACATATTTACTACGCTTTCCACTATGAGTTTACAATAATATAATTAGAAATCAACCAATATGTTTTTTTATACGCGATGCTGATACTGATTGTTTTGAATCTAGAGGAACTGATAACCAATAACCTCTGCAGATATTTTTGGGATGATATGTAGGGTCAATTTTGATCATTTTCCCCACATTATATAATTTGAATTCACTACAAACTCATCCAGTTTTTTGCAGCGCCCTCTTCTGCTGGAGATTTAAGGCTAATAGCTGATAGCTGATGTTAAAAGTGTCGGTTAACCAGTGTATCGGTCCATCTCTACTGACACTACATCTTTTGTACTAAACTTTTAAATTTTCTCAGTTGTTATTGTTTATAGTGGGAAATTATATTAATTTGCATAGAACTTTTTTTAGGATACTGGTTTTGTAGAATTACATCAATTATTTATACATAATTCAGGTATTATTTTACCGTGTAAAACAATGACTCTTCTCCAAATATACTAATAATTTACTTTCCCTTGAGTTTACTTTAAACATCAGCATAAGTAATTTGGTAAATCATTTGGTTATAATGGTAATACCCACCATAATTACCCTACAGTCAGCAGGAAAAGGATATCACCTCAAAAATAATAAGTCTCCAATGCCAAAGATGTAAACATAAATGTAAATACAGTTACATAACAGTTACATAAATCCTGCTCATTTTAGACTTCTTATTGATTACACATTCACCTTTTAGCTTTTTTTCTCCTTACTTGTTACTAATACATTCCTATGCTATGAACATACTGATAGGATTTCTCAAAATTGAACTGCCCTTCACATCTGTGCCGGATTTTCAATAGTAAACTATCACCAGATAACGTCAGGCCAATTTGTTTCCAGTCCAAAACGTGGACTTTGTTTGGGCCTTGATAAAATATAAAAATGTTATGATTCTGTTTTGGTGGAAACTGCGCGTAATGGTTGCTAACACTTTCATAACAGGGAGAGTTTGTTTAATTAATTTAAAGATAGCTATATTGTTTTTATGGCTAAAGACAACTAAAGAGTAACTTAGAACACTCAGATCTCTTCTATACATCAGGCTGGACACTGACTAGACGATGTCACTGAAGTGCGTAACAGCTGCTTGGTTTTTATGCATTTTCCTTTAGGATAACTATACCATGCAATTGTCAATACAAAAATATAATAAAAATAACAAAAAAGCTGCAAGAGTATCAGGCTGGACACTGACTAGACAATGACGTCAGTGGATTGCATAACAGCTGCTTGTTTTTTATACATTTCCCTTTAGGATAACTATATACCATACAGTTGTCAAAACAGAAATATAATAAAAATAACAAAAAAGCTGTAAAAGAACAAAAGCAAAAGAGTGAGGCTACAGGTAAATTAAAATGCTATTACAGTTCAACCTGGTAGTATTTGAATGTCAAATGTTTTTCTCATTTTGTGCAGCCCTAATTCCATCTATATTGACTTTTTACTCCTGGAATTTTATTTTTGTATGAATGTATTAAAGTCTGTCACACTTTAAATAGCCCAAAGGCAAAAATGTGACACTGATCTGTGGTACTTTTAATGTGATTTCATTGCAAATGCTGAGCCAAACATCCCCTATTCATTTCCCAGTATTTCTAAAACAGTGTCACCTGAACATCTGAGAGTCCATTGTCTCGAGATTAAATTTCCAACAGCCTCAAGTTAGCCTTAACAAATTAAGCTATGAAAGAAAAACAGGTTTAATTGAATTCAATTTATTTGGATTTTGATGCTTGATAAAACTGGATTGCATTATACTTATGAAAAAATTGATTTGTTTTGGAAACCACAAAATGCCATGCTGAGTGTAAAGCACGGACAGATAAAATTTTGAAGATTTGGAGGTTTGCTCCTTAGTTTGTGGGGTGAAATGAACTATTTGTAACCTTCAAAAGCATGACTTCATCCTGTTGTGAACTGTATCTTCTCCTCCATGGCAACCCGTGTCAGCGTCACAGTTACGTTTAACATTCTCAGGAGAACAAACGAGGTCAAAAAAAATAAACAGATCATTGATTTAGAATGAGCCAGTGCTGGCCCTGACAAAGACTGTGTACACTAAACTTTACAGGCAGTAGAAGGACCGGTGTCATGTAAACGCTTGTCCAACCTTTATAACTCACTGTATTTACTTTAGTCTAAACTAAATATTTTTAATCAATATTTTAATTCAGACTGAGCTTCCAGTAGAATTTGTCTGATAAACTGTCAATTGTCAATGTTAATTTTGGGAACCCTTGTTTTTTCTTATAATTTGATGATGTTTATATTATACGATATACCAGATAGTTATGTGCAGTACACACACATATTGTACACACTATACTGTAACGCCATCTAGTGGAATTTCTAGTTAAACATTTCAGAAATTAAATAGGGTTTAGTTGCTTTTATGTTGATACACTACTGATTGGTTAGAGGCAACCCTGGGGGTTTGTTAATATTCATAATATGTCCAAGGGTAGCATTAAAATTGTAAGTTAGTAGCTTGTTTTGCTGTATGCTTCTTGCTATTATATAACATTAAAGAGTTTTTTATAATATTATGCAACACGACTATCACTTTCATTACTATCTTTGTCCAGTAGAGGGACCCCTACTACTATGTTTGTCACCTTCGCTTCATATCTTACAGTCTATGCTTCTTATGTATTTTGACCCTCTAGTGGAAACTTCTTGTTACTGCATCTTTCATAATCCTCTCTAAACAGAGGAAATATTCAAAATGCTTTTTTTGAACTTTATTCTTTTTACAATGCCTAAAGTAGTCATTTAAGCTATGTTTCTCACAGCAAAACTGAAGAAAAAAAAAAAGAAAGAAAAAAAGATTAGGAATAATTACATTAAATTTACATTATGCGACCTAACCGATTAGACTCTCCAAATATCGGCTTATCTACAATGTATGTATTTAAAACCATGAGCAGGATTCATGCATGCTGGGAAGTAGTACGCGGTGTTCACGTTAATGCAGGCTGGGCTCTAGCGCTGTAGTAGGTCAATTTGTAGGTTTACTAGACCCCCACACGCACCCCTCCTCTTTATAGATCCACGAGCACAGCACGCACGAGACGCACGTTTGCGTAAGCCCCGCCCCGGCCTGTCTCTCACGCACCAGTTACGTCTGACCGTAAAAAATAGAAACTTTCAAGATGGCCGAGTCCGTGGACTCCATGCATTTCGCAGCAAACAGCAAAACAAATTCCCCTAAACCCCTTATAGCTAAACGGTCACCTGAGAGCAGACTGCAGTCTTCCAACGAAAATTACCCCCCACCACCAAAGAAGATCCGACTGGAGGAGAGAGCCCCGAAGCACAGCAAACTGAACGGAGAGGTGTGCGCAGGGGAAAAACACAACGGGAAGCAGAGTTGTGGGAGCCCAGCGAAATGGAGTTTCGGCCCGGCCAAGGCGAGCCACTCCGCCGCCTCACTGCCTGGGACTCCCGCGCGGAAAATCTTCAAAATAAGCAACTTCCTCGCTTCGCCACACAAAGTAAAGAAGTCGAAGGAGAAGCGACACAAGGAAAAGGAGAAAAGCAGCGAAGCGCGGCGGAGTCCTGGCGCTGCTGTGGAGAAAGTGAGCCCCGCTAGCTGCCATACAAAGACGGAGAACGGAGACGTGAAGGCGCTCCAGAGAGGTATGGGCACCCATACCACCACTGCTTTGGTTTATTACACACGTGTTCATTAAACATGCAACTAAACCAACACAGTAACGCTGTTTAATACATTACTGCACATTTGAACCGTCCATTAGGCCGCATTGTTTATTAGGCCCTGATAGTCACGTTGCACGTGGAAATGTTTCTGGTTACTTTAGTATTGGCATTTTTCCTAACGCACTTTTGTATTTTAATTCCAGATGACCGTGTTAAAGAAGATAGTAAAAAGGAAAAAAGCAAGGAGTCGAAAAATCACAAGCTGCCATCTGTTCATGACACGGGGAGAGAAAACGGAGAAGTTATGTCTCCTCTGAAAGGTAGGACGGCATGCAGCCTTCACACACATCATTCTAAAAGCTGCTACTATGGGTACAACTGTTTTTAATTATTCCTTGCATGTTGCTTTAATGACAGTAATTAGTATCTTATTTAGATTAAGTATCTTATTCAAAATCATATACTTGTTACAAGTGTACCATTAGTTTTTAATTACTAACTTAATTACTGGAAAAAAATCCACTATTTTACAAAGAAACAGTTAACATTACATAAAAATTTTTTTCTTAAAGATGCACTATTTAAATTATCGGGTGGAGGGTCTGCTACCTGCTTGTCTCCTTGCAGATGCTATTGCTTTGTCTGGAATGTTCCACAGTGTGGCAATAACCATAAACTTAATTAAATCAATCTTTAATTGAATAAATGCAAGATAGACAAGTTTAATGCTATATTGTAGAACATTCCAGGCAAAGCAATAACTTGTCCATGGAGACGAGCAAGCAGCAGACCCCATTCAGAAATGTTGCACCTAGAAATTACATGGTAATTAATAATATATCAACTGTTGTTCTTCTACTAGTCAATAAAAACTGCTATGTTGTAGTGTAGAACAATGTCAAATATCAATGCCCGTATTTGTTTGACAGAGTCGAAGGAGAAAGCCAAATCTGGATCTGAGGAGGATCTGCTGAAGAAACTGAAAAAGAAGAAGAAAAAGAAACACAAAGATGGTGAGCGGCCCAAAGACAGACACAGCCGGCCTAAGATGTACCATCGCTACTGCCAGACGGTGTGCTCCGGAGTGGCTCTGCCCCTGCCCGACTTCCTCAGCAAAATGAATGGCAACAGCAGCAGCAGCACTTTCCTCACATCCACTACTCCTCCAGCGCCGCACCAGGACACAAACTGCTCCTCTGTCCCCTCTCCAGCCACTGATCGCTCGGGCTACTGTTCTCCCCTCCACTGCACCCCCTCCCCGGGTTTGCCAGGACTGGAGTTCAGTCGCCTCATCCACGTGGAGCAGCAGGCTAACGGGGGAGCCTCGGTGGTCCATGCCTACAGTGACCAGCTCTCCAGTCTATCTGCAGCAGAGATGGAGCGCTTCGCCGAGGAGTTTGTGGCCCTCTCCTTCAGCGAGGACCAAGCCCATGCGGCGTGCTTTGTGATGGGGATAATCCACGGAGCGGCGGCGTACCTCCCGGACTTCCTGGAATATTTCTCTTACAACTTTCCCAACTCACCAGTGAAGATGGAGGTCCTGGGAAAGAAGGATATAGAAACGACAACCATGGCCAACTTTCACACACAGGTAAGGAGTAACTTTTACAGCAGGGTAAAATGGGTAAAATACAGAGCTGATTTTCTACTAGTGTGACTGTGTTTAGAAAAGGATTTGCCTTTTAATGTCAAATGGTTAATGACATTTGAGTACATTGTAGTTCGAGCTAGATTGCCATATTAAACATAACAATACCTCTTACCATTAGAGGTGTTAAGATTCTTATGTAACACCAGCTTTCCCTCTCAGCTCTTAGAATGCCCATGTCATTATATACTATTCATTTTATAACAGATTGGATTTCAAAGTACGATACAAGATCTAAAGAAAGAATAGGTTTTTATTAAGTGCTTTGAATTGTAACAAATTGCCAAAAATAGTATGTTTGTAAAGTGGATTTTGCTGTTTGTCTGCTTCTTAGAGTTGGTGGTTAACTGTTAAAATTTGTATAGACGTATACTTTACAGATGGTATCTAGCCACCAACATGACATTCAAAAGGTGGAACATACCTTCATCACTCATTTTTAACTTGTAATCAATATAAAATGTCTGTTTAGCCCATCTGCTTTAGACGGCGAGCTCAGTTGCCCAAAGCTTTTAGCCCATATATTCTTTTAACAAGAAAAATCAAGAGTCTTCACACACTTGCTATTGATACTTTATGTAGCACAACCTTCTTAGATTTTAGCGATGCCAATACAGTTTATATATGGTGGTAAACCTTCTATCTGAATTTCATAAAAAAAATTTAAAAAAGCGAGATAATCCAAAAATTCAAGTAAGAATAGGCTTGAATCTTTTGTGTGATTTGAATGGTTTGGTGTGGTCTGGTCATATGTGTTCATCTGCTCCTTACAGAAGACAGATGGACATTTTGTCACTGTGTTCTCCAGAGTTAAATGAAGACTCACTGCCAGTTTGGTTTTTATTTAGAAACAGTTGGTTTAAATCAGGTTTAATCGTCTAGAGATGTTTACAGACTTGAAGTGAAGTCTGCACAGGACATGGTGAATCACCCCACTTGTGTGGATCTCTGATTGTACTGTTTTAATACTGGTCAGCTGTACCTCAAGCTGCATGCAAACTGCACAACTAGTGACCACTACAATTTCACTTTGAGGACTTCCTGTTTGAGTGGTTTATCAGTAACTTACTTCATAATTATTTCTCCTCCAAAGTTTGCTCGTCAACATAATAGTTGTTCTTGATTAATTTACATTCCGCTGACAGTAGATTTATAAGTTTTAAGCTTTATGCAACTTTTGTTTGATTATTAAATCAAAAAGAGTATGCTAGACACTATTCTTCCACACTCAATGGACCAGCAAGAGGAGTCGTGGCTTTGTGGCTTTGTGTTTTGAACTTTTTGACTTTAAGTTTTTTGTCTTACCTATTATTTTTAAATCTGTCACCTGTATCAGACCTCAAACTGTATGAGGACTTGGAAAAAGACTTAATTTAGTTTGAATTCCCAAGCAAATAAAACTAATTGTAATCAGGGGAACATCTACACTAGGGCTTATTCTCTTTTGGTTTTGGTTTCAGTGCATTTCAAACATTGCCCGCAGCATTAACATTGAGAGAATATGAACTGCCAAAGTAATTCAAAAATCACATGAGTTTCACAACATGTTTGTAGAGTTCTAAGATACAGGATTAGGTTTTCTAAACTAAAGAAACCACTAAAATGGCAGTTTTAGTTTGATTGATAATCTTGCATGACTGCTCTGCACATAAAGTAATATATTTGTATTACTGTAGGTTGACAGAATGTGAAGATGGCATAAAGTCTAATGTGTGTGACTGCAGGTGAAGCGCACCTACTCCCAGGGCACGTACCGCGCCGGGGCCATGCGGCAGGTCAGTCTGGTGGGGGCTGTGGATGAGGAGGTGGGAGACTACTTTCCAGAGTTCATCAACATGTTGGAGCAGTCTCCTTTCCTCAAGGTAAGTGCATGATGTGGTCTGTTCTACCAGTGGACAGGCAAAACCGCTCTAATATACATATATATTCACCAACACATTTGTGCAGCGCACTCTTCCATGGGGGACATTCTCCAGTCTGCAGCTCCAGAGCCCCACGGAGAGCGACGATGGCCCCATTATGTGGGTGCGGCCTGGGGAACAGATGATCCCAATGGCCGACATGCCAAAGTCACCCTTCAAACGGAAAAGGTAAGTTTCTGTACAGCAGATAAATGTTGTTCAGATGTTGGCCACACTTCTCTCTCTCTCCAGTGCGCTGCAGATAGTCCTTGACTGTGACAAATGTGTTTCAGGTCCACCAATGAGATAAAGAACCTGCAGTATCTGCCCAGAGCCAGTGAGCCCCGGGAGATGCTGTTTGAGGACCGGACGCGGGCCCATGCTGACCACATTGGGCAGGGTTTTGACAGGCAAACCACTGCTGCTGTGGGCGTGCTCAAGGCTGTGCGTTGTGGAGAGGAGTGAGTGCATTGACCCTTAAAGTCTGTAGAGAGAAACCAAAGTCATATGAGACTTTGCTTGTAAATAATCTGTTCCTTTGTACTATTCTGTGTTTGTCTCAAGAGTTGTAAACTGTTGTTTGGTTTTAAAGCAGTGACACTCCTGCGCGGATCACCAAAGACGTAGTGTGTTTCTACGCTGGCGATTTTGCAGATGTGGTCATGAGGCTGCAGCTGGATCTCCACGAACCCCCGCTGTCCCAGGTGGGTTCTACTATCCCTCCTTTAGCAAAATTATCCAAGTTATTTCTGTTTATGGTTTTACAATTTCACTGTTGTTGTTCCAGTGTGTCCAGTGGATTGATGACGCCAAGCTGAATCAGCTCAGGAGAGAGGGAATTCGATATGCCCGAATCCAGCTGTACCACGACGACATCTACTTCATCCCCAGAGGAGTGGTCCACCAGTTCAAAACGGTGTCCGCCGTGTGCAGTCTGGCCTGGCACATCCGACTGCAACTATACCACCCCCAGGAAAAGAAGGAGGAGGCCAAGGAGGAGAAAGAGGAGAACTGTGAGTCGAGAGAACTGGCCCAAATCAAAGAGGAGGACGAGGAGGAGGAGATACTAGTGTCAGAGGGGAAGGAGGATCTGACTGCTGTATGCAGGGAGATGACGGAAGAGCAGCCACTACTTTTACAAGTGCCAGAACCTGCGATTAAAAAGGAAGAGAAGGAAGCAGACATAATGGACCCTTCCACTATAACACCCGCTGTCACTGTAAAGGAGGAAAATAATGAAGATATTGTCCCACCTGCAGTAAAGGAGCCCAAGACCGAGCCAGAGGAAGCCCTATGCCCAACAGTACACAAGGACTGTGACGAGACTGGAGAAGTGCATAATAATGTAATATTGAATTCAGATCAACCAGTTAAAAAGGAGAGCGATGTGGTAGAGGAGAGACAACAAAAGATGAGTGTGCCAGTGCTGAAAGAGAAAAGTAAAGACAGTACGAACAGCACTTACAGCACACACAAAAAGGACAAGGAGAAATCAAAGGGGCGGGACGACAAGGACAGGCCCCGAGATAAAGACAAGAAAGACAGGAATAAAGAGAAGGACCGGGACAAACGAGATCGAGACAAAGAGAAGGAGCGAGAGAGGGTGAGAGAAGGAAAGAGCGAAGCAGCATCTCTGTCAAACAATAAGAAGAAAGAGCATGAGGACAGAGACAGACCCAGAGAAGGTGGCAAAAGTCACTCCTCCGAGAAGATCTCCAAAGAGGGCCACATCAAGAGAGAGAAGGAGCATGACAAAGAGCGAAACAGCTCCCAGGCACCTCACTCCCGGCCTGACAGAGAGGACACACACAGCCACAAACACAAGTTTTCACATGGGAAAAAGGAGAAGAGTGCCCACCGTGAGAGCAAAGACAGCAGCTCCTCTACTCCGCACAGTTCCCAAACCAAGTCAGCCAGAGAGGAGGGCAAATCCAGCACTCCCAAAGCCAGCAACCAGCAGTTTAAGAAGGAAAAGGAGACTAGTAAGGATGAAAGGAAACACCCCAGCTCTGGTTCTGCTTTATCAGAACACAAAGCCCCACGGACACTGGTCACCTTTGACCTCTTTAAGCCCATGGCATCGCATACGCCAGCCCCTTCTTATACAGACTGTCGGCCGAAGAGCCACCACCACAGTGACTCTCGAAACACTTTGTCCAAGCCTGGCTCTGACAGCCGGACTGTGGTGGGCTCTAAAGGACCTAAAGTAAAAGACTCTGCTTCTGTGCAAGGCAAACCTGCTGTGTCCATACAGGACACTCGGACTCCACAGCATTCACTCAAATCTCCCCTCAAAACACACATGCCATCTCACTCACACAAAGATTTCTTATTATGAATGTCCATGTTTCCTCCTTTTTTGACTGTAACTTACGACAAGGCTCTGTTAAACTGTTTGGGACTGCATCCATTTGTTCATAGTAACAAACCCAGTTTAATAATACATTTCAACTCAGTTATTTAAAAAGAGGATGCATATTCCAAGTACTTTAGCGTTGCCTAAGAATGTAAGCTAAGTAGCTCACTTCACGTTTGTTAGCGAATGTACGTAGGCTCTATAGAAAATGTTATGTGACATGTGTCAGTGCCTGCCACTACTTAGCTTCGCTCTTAAAGCACCTATTTTAGGTACAGGACAAGCCAATCTGAAAACAGCCATCTTTGTTTTATGTCCAAAAAGCTCCAGTTGAATCCTGTCGTTAAGTGGCTCTAGGAGGTGCCATGCTGTGTTAGGCCATGGATTTATACTTTAACACTAAAAGCTGTTGTTTTCAGATTGGACTGTTCACTCACAGGGCTGTAAATGATACTGTATCTACCAAAACTGTACAGTATAGATGTTATTAGCACCAATGTGAGAAATGTATACAGAAATTGCATATATTTTTTGTAAGACAAGTTTTATTTTCCATAGAACTTATTTATATCATTTACTGTCTGATTTTATTTTAAACCAATGTATGTGAATTTTTGTTGTAAATACATTTTATTTCCTAAGACAAGACTTGGTAGTGTGATTTATACTCTGATCAGAACCTTTCAATAAATGGTTCAGAATATTGTCTTAAGCCACCAATAGTGTTTTACAGCATTTTGTCATTGAAATTAATTTATGTGTTATATTTTAATAATGTTTTGTCTGTTAGATTCAATTTCTACTCCAAAATAAGTGGATATGGGATTGTATTTATTATATCTGCTTCCTCAGCACCTTACATCAAGTTATGGCATCCCTAGAGGGTCTAAAATGATGAATACAATGTTGTTTTTTAAATGTAAATTCAGGATACTTCTGATATGTTAATCTATCATAAATTAATCCTTAGGTTATCAGGTTTCCTGGATTATATAATGTCCATATATTCAATGCCACTTACAACAATAATTGCACAAAGATTTGTGTAAAACGTGGGTTCAAATATTGTTTTATAATGTAGCTAAAATGAACAATCCATTAAATCCACTACCAGATGTCAAGGAAAACCTAATGTTTCAGTTTTATGTTTATTAACAACAATCCCTTGGATCTTGAGAGCATCTTCCAAAATACTCAAAGCGCTTTACTAAATGTTAGTCATTAACTTGATACACTTGGGGCGTTACCATTGTAGCCACAGCTACCTTAGGGCTGACTGATGGAAATTGGCTGCCAAGCTGCCCCAATGATGTTTCCAACAACAATCATCACTCAACACATTCATTCAAAATATGGATGGCTGCATGCTATCCCACATAAAAAAAAATAATAATCATACTATTATTTAGATTGTACTGAATTTTTTATTTTATTTTTGCTGTTAGTATCTTTTTATCTGCCATTAAAGATTTCACACTTCACTGTGATTGGTTTTATCTGTCCATGATGTGACAACCTAATCAGAATAGCACATCTTCACAGGGATCAGATCACAATTAGATTTTTAAATTGCCCAGCCGTAATACTGGTATCAAGCAAATGGCCAGAAATGTAGATATTTTGACCTGTTTTATAGTCAGTATCTCTGTAATTACTGGATCCGTTCTCATGAAACAAAGTGGCGGCATAGACTTTTTCAGCAAAAATTAACTAAAGATAAATTATTTTTTATTTTAGTATAAAAGGCTGGTAGCAATATTTAAAGCCACAGTTAAAGGCACAAATATTGTCAGTTGAATTCAACAATATTTAAAGCCACAATTAAAGGCACAATTACTGTCAGTTGAAAGCACTTCAATCCACAAGTTTTATCATCATAACAAATTGTAAGGTTGAAAATATAAAGATTTCCTTTGAATGTAGATATTACTTCCAAAAACGCAAAATTTCCAGGTGTTTTTATTCCACTGCCAGTAGCTTCCACCTGCAAAGATGACACTTCTAGCTGTTGTTAACCTAATATAACTGAAATATGTGCCTATGAAAACCTTTTACACTTAAGTAGCATGACTCCACCACTGTCCGATTGTTCTTAAAAGCTTGAAGATTCCTATAACTATCACTAGCATTATGTATTATGTGATAGACACCAACATATTGTAGGATATGTCTTCTCAGTTTAAGATGCTTGTAACTTCAAGTCTCATCATTTTCTATAGTAAGGCAAGCGGGACAGTTTTAATAAACCTTGTTCAGTCTCTCCTGAAGTGAAAAACACTGTGTCCTAGCTCAACCAGTGCCCCTCCCAGCAGCACCCAGAGCGGTACACACACCACACTGACCCACATGTCCGTCACCCTGTCCAATCTGCAGCACAGGAACAGACAAAAGGTCAGCTTCAATAGCAGAGCCATCAGGTACCACAACCTCCGCACCAGGCTCTGCTCGCCCTCCCGTGGCTCAAAGTCCGCCTTGCACCTCCCTGCCATCTTCACTACCAGCATGAGGATGAGGACAGTGTCAAACGTCCACACGGGGAGGAAGATCAGAAACCAATTCCACTGGATTTTTGAGTCCAGTTTTAGGACCAACAAGATGAGGAACATGAGAGCAAAGATCCAGGAAAGGAGAACACGCTGGGCCAATGACATCTTCATTTACAAATAGGGCGCACTGCCAGGTTCACCTACACCAGGAGAAGGAGGGGGCAGAGCAGGGCAAAACCAAATGATCTGAAAACAAGAAGAAAACAAGAGACAATGAGTGCAAATGTAATACGAGTACATTATATTTATTGGATAAACACAAAGAGTTATTCATGTATTGTCCACTTCAAATGTAGGCAGTAGGCAGTAACATTTTTTCTTTTTTTTTTTTTGTGAAAAACTAAACCTGAGTGAAATATGCTGACTAAACTGTAAAACACATACAGACTCACACATTCCAGATCAAATAAGCAAAAATATGCCTTTGGTTTATTTAATATTACATATATTTTTTACTACAAACTGATAAGTGATACATTACCATCTGTGGCAGCAATTCTATCAAAACAACTTGTTCTGCTGTTCTACTGTTTACAGCTAAATAACATTAGCGAAGTTAAACAAAGCCTACTTGTGTCAAAAGCGTCTTAATACTTACGATCGTTCTCACCAGCGCTCAGTTCACAACTAAGCTAGATAAAATGCAAATAACATAATTATGAATCAAACAAAATAACTGTTTTAAGAAGGATCCATGCCCGTACTTGAGTTCATGTTTTGCACTTAGCATTAGCATTAGCCACTTCGCAGTTTCCGTTCAATGTAGGTGCGTCCTTCCAAAATAAAAGCTTTGTTATGTTGTCAAAATAAAATTCTGATTGCTTTATACAACTTACAGTTTACTTATTATTTGTATCTCTAACAAAAGTCACAGCACTGTGCAGCATAATTTGAATTACCATATTTCTAAGCAAACATGACTAAACTAAAGACCATCTGAAGACTACACAAATGCATTGTTTTTTACTGGGCAAGTTTAATACAAAGTACAACTCAGTAGACATATAGATTGTCAAAAAGTAATGTACAAAACACTTGAGGTAAAACATCATTTAAAAAGATTATCTTAAAAAGCCCTTATTAAAAGTTTTTTTTTGTTTTTGTTAAAAGCTCACATTACACCATTTAATTCTAAAAAAACAAAGCACATTTATTTACATTATAGTGGTGATGCAAAATACAGTGTGTGACATGACATTCAGTCAAATCATTCTCGTCGTACAAATATAAACAATATCTTGTACAAAGCTTGCACAATACTAGAGAGAGCAAATGTGGTCACTTAGCTGTTATCTCTAAATAGAAGCTTTTGCATTAAGACCCCTAAGAGTGCTGGCAAAAAAAAAAACAATTCTGGCATTTTACAAAAGTGAAAATAGTATAAATAAATAAAAACATTTTGTGGTTAGGAATACATGACATTTTTCCTATGTTGTCTTTATAAGCCATTGTTTGAATGTAAACATGCTGTTGTGTGAAAACTTTATATTCATTATTTTAATTTAGTTTAGTTACTTTTTGAGTAGTATGAAATACTTTATTCAATTCATATCATAACAAATCACATTACCACAGAACAGATGGAGTTTCAAATTCTTCTTACTGATGTTCCAACTGTTTTATTTGATCTACAAAGTTTTCACACATCAGAGAATGCACTTGAAACTCCCGTACATCTTGTACTACTGAAAAAATAAAAAGTACCAACTAGTCAGAGTGCAGTGGTAAACGTCTCTAAATGTGTTTGTATTATTATGGAATACACACTGGGACTGGTTTCCTTAAGGCAATCACAGCTACACAATGCTCTGCCTGCTATCACGGCCATAACCAAGCGCCTCTGAGGGGTGAGGTGGGAAGTCTATAAAGATCCCATCGGAGTCCGAGTCGGCAGATTCCAGCACTGGTCCGATTATGGTCTCTGGGCTGGAGGACTCACTGGGCGGGGTGGAGGATGCGCCCTTGCTCAGGTCAGTCATTGTTGTGGTGGCCTCAGTGCCGTGGAGGGGCCCTGAGGAGTGGAGAGGAAGTATTGAGGAAGATGAGAGAGGGAGGGCCAGAGCGTTGGATCCTGCTTGTACAAGTCCTGTAAAGAAGAAGAACATATCAGCAAAGACTAGACTCAGATGTCTTACAATTGCTTCATTAACTTCTTTCTTGTATATATAACCTGCACTCTTACTGTTTAAAAAAAAGAAACATCAATCACTATTGAACCTGGATTGCCAGTGCTTCAACCTGCAGATAGCGGACACTTTTTCTGTGTCAAGTTCAAGTCATTCTCAGCATATATGCCTGATGTAAAAGCTGGTACCTCCAGAATTCAGTCACTGAGCTGCAGAGGCTCCACTAGCACTAATTAATGATGCAGTTGCTGGGGTTTAGGTTGTGATGATTCCAGTCAGAGTGCCCTTTAGGTTTATTTCCAACTGGTTTTGATCTGGAAACCCAAATGAGAGCTTCATGTGAGGCACATTCTGTTTTCTGATTGGATAATCATCCTGAGGACCAAAACTCCAAATGATTACATGAACAGTTAGCCATCATGTACAACAGTTATCTGAAGAAAGAATATTTGTTGTTATGTTTATCTGTTGTCTAGGAACACAAACAAGGCCAAGCAAATGAAATTGTATATACTAATTCTACATGCCTAATTGTAAAAACACAATACTTTTAAAAACTTATTTCTAGGAATAAAAATTTGAATAAAAATACCCCAAATAAGCACATTGGTGTTTGTGTCCTACCATTGAACTGCGGGCCCACACACAGCCTGTTGGAGGAGCTGGACAGTTCAGATCCTGGGGCCCGGTCAGCGTAGGCTAGTCCTTGTTCCTCCAGGCAGGATATGATCTCACAGGCCGAGTGGCGCCGGATCCCTCCATTGCCTGCAGAACTGGCATCTGGGTCATACTCTGCCACTGGGGTCAGGAGCAGGGGAATGTTGTAGCTTTTTGACCGCACCACCGGGTTCTTGGACAGCTGATCTGCAGACTTGGCCAGGCCCCATGGTAACCGCTTCTCTGCAGACAGAAGATTGATTACAGTAATGAAGTGAATGCGGATGACTGGACAGACATATTGCTTTTTCAGTCAGATAATACTTAGAAAAGACACAGAAAAAAAGTCATGTTTTTCAAATTGTTAGCAGTTTTCATGTTGTAGGATTTTCCCTTTACTCTCTGTATCAATTAAATCTTGGGAAAATCTGTACAAATCCTCCTCACAGCAACATAGATTAATTATTTGAAAACATTTAGAAATAATTGTTTCAGACTAGCCTTGTAATGCGTACTGTTGTCATTCTGTACCCAATCTTTTAAATAGAAATAAATTATCATGGATTGTAAACTGGCTGAAGTTGAAGGATAAATATGTACAGTCTGTCTTCTTTCATTCTCATCTCGATGTCAGTTCAAAAACTCAAACTCCTGCCCTAGCAGCAGGTCATATGATCTAGTAGACAATTTTTCTTAAAGATGCACTACATAATTTTTCTGGTGGAGGCATCTATTTGTCTCCATGGAGATGCAGTATCGATGGTATTCAATTACAGGTGCTCTTAAGGCTCAAAAAACATACATTCTTACTCTGAGTTGCCACTCCAAAGATTTGATCTGTAATTTGGCCTGGTGCCCCATACTTGTCTTCGTGGATATAGATAAGTTTAATGCCATATTGTGGAATATTCCAAGCAAAGCAATAAAATCTCCATGGAGATAAGCAGAAAAGTTACATAGTGCAGCTTTTAGATTTCTAGACTGTATCAATGCAATGTTGGCTATAGCCAAGGGCTTGGCATAGTGAGTGCACCTTGTAAGAGCCCCCTTGTTCTCCTTGTGTAAAATGATAGTGTCCCTCTTACCTAAAACGCAGCAGTTGGCTTCTACACCATCTCCAGAGTACAGACCATGTGTGCCAAGGAAGGGCGACACCACCATCTGAACCAAGGACTCCAGCCTCAGGTATTCCTCACTGATACCACGGGACTCATGCACCCCCTGGCAAAAGAATGCAAATGTGCCATCAGCACTGAGCTCATTTAAAATCCCATTACATCTAAATCTAAATACATGAACAAGTAATACAGTATTTATAGTTTTACTAATGGGATGCTACCATACTCTCTATTGGGTTATAGTTCATAGCTAGATTGGGTTATATCACCTCTTTGTTTCTATGGAGATAGTCAAGTTTAAAGTCATATTGTGGAACATTCCAGATAAAGCAATAACAGCTCAATCAACACAACAGATGCCAGACCTTCCAGCAGAAAAGATAGTAGAGCTGAACAATTTGGGAAAACATATCCAACTGCAAAATTGCAATCTGACAAGCATTGCAACTCTGATTATATTAGCAATTTGTGTTTTAATATTTTATTTTATTAACCTTTATTTAATCAGGTGTAAAAACCTACTGAGATCGATATCTCTTTTTCAGAGATGACCTGGGCCAAAGTGAAACTGCAGCATACATCATGACAAAACATTTACACATTTGCACTAAAACAGAAACAGTATTAATTATTTTAAAAGGACTACATTTAAGAACAGAGATAACATTAATAGAATTGTCTGTCAGCTCACAAAGCTAATAATAGCTGTTCAAAGTTCACATCACTTCCAGGAGAACTGAAAGAAAGAAAGTGACAAACTAATACAAGAATCAATGTGCTTGAATGTCATTTAGAACATATGTTTGTACAGATCTAAACCATAGTGCTAGCAGTTTTTTACAACAGAAGACCAGATTTTTGGTTATTTGTGGAGGAAATTATGGTGCTTAAAAAAACTGCAGCCCTTGCAATTTGCTAACGACAAGCATTCAAATAGCGATTTGATTTTGATTAATCTTGTAGCCCTATTACATTGTGCACAACTAAAACTTTTTCAGTTAGGCTGTTTTTTACAAAATCTCACCAAGAGTAATACAGTCCACACTTATGCAGCCTTGTATCATATCCTGCAACTATCAGCTCACCTCCACTTTGTAGTACATGACATAGATGGGCTGACCTGCAGAATCAGCAGCATCTGAGTGACTGAGGGGGGCACCCGGGCGCGGGGTCTGGACAGAGCCTCCTCCAGCTTCACACTCAGGACTATGGTGTTCCTAAAGTGCAGCAGCGCCAACTGTCTGACCGACGGCTCTTTACCCTGCAATCAAGAGGTTAATAAACAATGCTAGGTATGTATGTCAAGAGTGTGGCTATCATTTCTAAATATTACTAAAAGAACGGTGGTAGGAATGTAAAATTGGTACCCAGATAGTATCAAAACTATGTTTGAGCAGGTGACAGTACTGAATATGACATATGCATGCACTGAACAAATTTGGACCTTTACTGAATAGTTTTAAAATGTCTAAAATGCCGATTTTGATACCCAAATAATAATTTAAACATTGTGAACATTGTGATTATTATACCATGTGTTATTTTCTAGTTCTGATAAAACTCAAGATGAAACTGCTCAGGAAATGTTACATTTTATCCAGTAATGTGTTTTTTTGTATATACCTTTTGATATTTTTGACATAAATTGGTATGGAGGATCAAATCTTTTCCTTGGTATCAACAATTTTCCCACTAGTATGAGTGGGAGTAAATTTATTCAAGGTACATGTAGAAAAGTAAATATAAATAACTAACCATTATTTTATTAAAATAAAAGTGTACAGTTATTGTGTGAGGTAACTGCTGAGATGGATTTGTACCTGCACTGGGTGAAAGATAGCCTGAAGCATGGAGAGAACATCACAGAAGAAAAAATCCCATGTTTCTGCCAGGGAATCCAGCAACTTTTGACCTAAACAGAAAAAAATGTTGTAGCAAAATG